AGCACCGATCTCAAATGGACGATGTGGTTTTCGTCATATGTCCTCCCGTGTCCCGCACGCACGACTGTGGACGAAGATGTCATCAAAGTATATCTGTGCATACGCCCGATAAGGCCTGAACAACTGCGTCACAAGACGATTAAATGTTGCTGGTGAGTTTATCAGCCCTTGAAGCGTCATCAGCCATCCCAGAGCATCCCGCTCAGAGTACTCACCGCTGTCAGCGGAATGTCACTCGCTCTTATGAGCAATAGGTAATACTTATCTACCAAGTCGAGTGCACTGTACTTTGTACCCCACCATGTAGTTCGATAGAATACCCTTTTCAGGAATCAGCGTCTGTGTCGGAATGGTAGCAGCGTCTAGCTTATTATAAGTGTGAGCAAAACGCCACCTGACGTTCGGCTTCCGAACACAAGACGTGGGTGTCGAATGGGAAGACTTGCTCTCGCGTACCATTCCTGCCTCGTCCTTCGCACAGAAAAGGCGTCAATGACGTCACACTGCTCTTTGAGCAGAGGTCCTTGGTATGTTACGCAGAATTGGTTCCTCGAACAAGGTCAATCTTATGACGCACACATCGGTCCGGAGGTAGGATCGAAGACGTCTTAAAGTCCCTTTACTAAAGGATAGTACGGGTCCGAGGGATTTTTCAGGATTGACGATCCACTTCGTGCGTTCAGCACCCGCTTGGTGTCCTCCAAGAACAGCTTCATCCAGAAGCGGCGACGAGTTAATCTCCTCGTTCGGTCGTATAATGACCACCTTGGCTAAATTATCGGTCTTCAAGGCACCGCTAAGCCCTGTGAAGGACATCTCGTCCAGCTCAAGAAGAGCAACCATTGCGGGAATATCCTCGAGGGTGACGTCGCTGGCTTCCTCTCTCGTGTACCGTTGACAAGAGTATATAGCTGCGCGCTATCGTATACGGTAGACACACCCTGTGTCAGGGTCGACACCCAGCGCATTGCAGATAACATACGACTTCGACGTCTCCTATCTAAAGAGGTTTTATGTCTCATCGGAAGCAATTGGATGACGCACTCAGTGTCGTCCAGTATCGTCACTCCCTAATCCAACGGATCCTTGATGTTTTCACAGCATCCGACGAAGAGCTGCTATTTCCACAGTCGCCGCCCAGTGAATAGCGTGCCACTCCACATGCATCAGAAGGGTCCTGGCCAAGATGCCTTGGACCTTGTTCAACCATGTCACTCTCGGTACCTCAAAATGTGAGTAGTGCTAAGTGGATAACGTGGCACTCCACACGCATCATTAGGGCCTCGCCCTCGATGCCTCGGACCTCGTCCGACCATGCCACTCTTGGCATGCAGCAACGTTTTGAAACGTGAGCAGTACTCAGTGGGTTTCGTGCCACTTCACGTGTATTTCTGGAGCTTCGCCCTTGATGCCTCGGCCCTTGGTTGACCATACCACTCTTGGAATGCAGCAGCTGCTTTGATACTTGAGCAGCGTTCCGTGTGCTACGTGCCAATCCACGTTCAGACTGCGAGCCATGCTCTGGACTCTATTCCAAAACACCTTTGATACTCGACAACTCATATACTCCGATCTCTAGCATGTTGACCGTCCCGGCTCAGTGCCCGCACCAATGAACGTTTCTGCTTACTAGCAAAGGTGGGTGTATGACTCACCAGAGCTCCACCAGGAGACGTTCACGTAGCGCGAAGGTCTTCGACCTCCAATGTCGCAATGGTTCAGGGTGTTCCAACCATGTCATACCAAGAATAAGGTCACTTTTTGAATCCGAGTCTAAGACTAAGCAGCGTTCCACGCTATCAAAGTCAAGAACCTTGACACCGACGTCCACAGGGACTCTCGGCACAGTGACCCAAGCCCCTGTCTCTAAGCAAACAGTGACGGTGTCACTCAACCGCGCTTCCAGCGCCTCAACATACAGATGACTTCCTTTAATTACGGAGCGTCGAACATAATTGCCCGACGCACGGAATCGATCAGGATTTGCCATGGCTTCTCAAAGCTCTTCACTGTCGCTTTTACGACCAGCAAGCCCGGCTTGTATACACGTTCCGTTTTTGAAAAGCCCGCAGCTTTTTGGGGTTAGACCCCCGCTGCCCTCTACCTCTTTGAGGCTAAACTGAACTCAGTTTTCCCCCAGTAGGACGCCCCGCGCCTGATTCGAAAGGAGTCATCCGTCGTCGACGGTAGCGTCATGAACGCAGTCGACGCCGACAGCTTCTGCTGTTGGTGCTCTGGTAGAGTATTTTCATAGCTCATCGCCGCCTCTAGGCGTGCGCTTATCGCTTCGGTTCCTTGCGAAACAAGGTGTTTCACGCCCTCAGGGCCAAGCAGTGACATCAGCTTGGTAAGCCTTTCCTGCATGCCCTGGGGCTAAAAGGAGAATTGCTTCATCCTCACAGAGGATTAACGACTCAGATGTAGATTGACCTCGAGTGCTATCGAGTGCAGCGAGGCTGCCGTAGCTCTTCGCTTAAAGGAAGCCAAGCTACGGTCGCCAACCTTACGTTCTATACCAGAACCAGTACGAGCGTAGCGGATCGCAATCTGTTGCGTCCAACATTACCTAAATTCCTTAACAAAAGCAGATTTACTTTTTTGTTCAAAATTAAGCTGTATTTTCCGAATAAATATGTATAATTACTGGCAGTCCTGCCATGCAGTGACTTATTTTTATGGTGTAGCCAGACCATTGTGTGATTACACCATCTTGTGTAATCCAGACCTTTGTACGGACACACCATCTTGTGTGACCCACCCTTTCATACAAGGGCACGTTGCACACAACAAGAGTGACCGTTGGCAACTTTGTTGAGTCCGGATGGCTCCGCGGTCGCATGCTTACAAGTGTTCAATATCGAACGCAAAATAATTGAGTCTGTACAGCATACTGAAAGTCCTACGACCCGGCAGGTGAAGGCTTGAGCGATCCTTTCTTTCAAATACGCAACGTCAGCTTAAAAAACAATTCGTCCCACAAAACAACTTCAATCCAACCCCGGGTCCGACAATGGACCAACAACGAAAGAAATAGACAATGCGCAAAATAACTTAAGAAGTGAGTTTCGCGAGCAAAATTCGGTACCAACCGCCGCAACCCGTAAAGCGTCTCACTGTGCCGAAAGCTTCAGCAAAAATATCAACTTTATAATGCAATTCCACACAAATTTTCTGGTGAACACCTTACGATGCAAGAAAGTTTAGCATCTTGATCGGTAGATGTGCCTAATACTATGCATTTGAATGTAGCTTAAGCCAAAGAAACGAATCCAGATCTAGTGCATGAAATTAATCTGTTTTGATTTCTGATACAATCAGCAACAAACCTGTTGCGACCTTGTTTTATAGTGGTGTAGACCATGATATCATCTTTCCTAATATCGCCAGCTCAAAAAAGTACAAACTAAAGTATTCGTCCGACATTTTCTTAATTCTACAAGTACACCAGCGTGCAAAGTCTTCTTCTCCCTCAAGTTTGTAAAAAAAGTGCTCGAAAATGTAGAAATGAGGGAATGATCGCCATCAGAAAGTTTTTGCAATCACAAAAAAACACGAAATTATTATTGAATTTCAATGGCTTCGCAATCACAATCCGGTCATCGATTGGAAATCCAAAAAAAATAATTTGACTAGAATGTAACAATGGATGACCTCTTTCTAGTCAGAGTAGGATCAGAGGCGTTCAAAAAATTATCCCGGGTGGAAGCTATGCAGAAGTGTACAATTCGAGCAATTCGGCTGGCCCAAAGAAGAAAGCAGCCAAAATAGAGGTACATGAATTTATCATAGAGTACGCGTATCTGTTTCCAACAGAGCTTCCAGCCTTACTCCCACCATAACGAGATATCGTGCATGAGATACATCTCTAGCCGGATACAAAACCAAGCCCATTCAGACTTTCAAATGCTGGTCAACTGCACTCGACCGTTCGGCGCTGAGCTAATCAAGAAGAATTGAATCAAATTGTTCAATTCACCGTGGTTGTCTGGCATATTTCAAGTGCCTCATGAAGTCCCAGTCACCGGCACCACCCGTCGCTCGCGAAATGGCTTCATTTTAACAGTTTAAAACATGCTGATTAGGTGCGTAGTCCACTACCAATACTCCAACTTTTGTCCGATATCGCAAAAAATTCTGCCACATATTGAAGAGCTCTCAGTCGTATATGAGTTGTTCCAGGCTTTTCTCACTGCTTGATCTTGCAAGAGGATACCAGTAGATGCGAATGATCTCAACAAGTTGCCAGCATACCGCGTACCGTACAAACCACGAAATCTACCAGTGGAAGTAGGTCTAATGGGCTTAGCTGGAATGCCCGGTATTTGGACTCGACTGATGAGGAAATTCTTCAGTGAGTTTTTTTCGAAGTGTACTCGTTGACATCAGCGTCGTTTCCACGACTTTGGTCGAGCGTGTCATCCATCTTCACTGTGTATTTGATGTACATTGCGAAAAGACGCTGTACGCTCGCGTCGGTATAAGTGACTTTGTACAAACTTCAGTTAATTTAAGGATGCAAAAAATAATAACCTGATTAAATGACTACACGTTGACAGTCGACTGTCGATAGACTCGCGCCGTCAGGAATTCACGTCAAGTTACCTGAATTCAACAATATTAAAGATATTTAATGTTTTCTCGGTCTTGCCGGCTATAATCGCAGTTTCATCAACAATTTTGCTGTACCGTGCTACCGCTTAGCTGCTTGAACAAGGTAGATGCGCATTGGATAGTTAAATCATACCAACAGCAGACTTTTGACGCCTTAAAAGTGGCTTTTCAGCAAACAACAGTTCTACAGTTGCCAAAATTGGATAGAAGATCTATCATCGTATTCGCTCTTCATTATCCTCCCAGCCAACCCACCGTTCTCGCCGATGCACTTTGGCGTCCGCCGGCATCCAATTCTACGGTAAGGAAAACGACGATATACAACCGCTGCCCACGAAAATTTCGCGTTTCAATTTCCAGAAGAATTGACTATAAATCTTGTGCTCAAGATGAGCAAGGTCAAAGCGTACATCGACCGAGTGCCGCAATTGACTACACGAGAAGTTCACGACTACGCCTGTTTGTGTTCTAGAGGCTCTGTTGTCTCGTTCAACACAAAGTCTTGGTGCCAGACAGATAAAAAAACTGACGGTTTGCAAAAAGATGTTGGAGTCACATTGATCTCAACACTTCGACAAAACAAATTTCAAGCGAACATACTCGAACGACCCATTGTATGCCAATGTTTGGTCTCGCGTCGGGGAAATATAAGCAATCTATCTCATCTTCAAATATTTCGTTCACCGTTTAGACAATCCAAACACGCCCAAATTTTGACTCCACATGATTCCCGATGTTCATGACTTCGCTATCACGACTTATCTAGGTGTTCACTGCAGCGATAATGGGATACTGTGTGCAAGTTCTTGACACGACGTGTTTGCATCTCAGCACATACAACTGCGACTGCCGAAAACATCACCGAGTTGTTCTGTATGCGCGTCATTCGACTTTTACTTTTTTAGTTTTTAATATAATCTAAAGTTCGCATCAAAACGCTTGACCGCTTTGATGGCGCACATGAATATTATTACGCAATGACACTCGCTCATCTCGCCCAAACTGATGGTCAGAATGAACGCCAAATCAAATACTTAAGGATTTTCTTCGTTTTTCAATTTCGTATCTTGGTATATACTGAAACGGATTCTTACCGATGATCAAGTTTGCTCACGCTACTCAAGTTGCAAAGTCTTTGAGGTTGTTACGTTCTACATCGAAACTGGCCGTTAGAACTAAGCAATTTTGCCACACGATTGAATGATGATAATTACAGCTGCGCAAACGTTTTTGAACATGCGTCCGTCAATGTTTATTGCCAGATATCATCGACGTAATTAAAGAATACATATATATAACGCTCAGGAGCATCAAAAACAGCATTACGACAGCAAAGGTAGTAAATTCACCTTCATAGTTGGTAATTTAGTGTAGTTAGTGATGGCAGATCTTAACGTCAGTCGTGCTCCCACCGACGAACAAGCCCTTTCACACAAGTTCGATCCAATGTTTATTTGTCCGAACAAAATCGTCCATAACGTAGCAACGCTCGACTCGCCCCACAACATGTGACATTTGTCCAAAACCTTTACGTCGACATGCTCCGTGTATACCACAGCAATCCCGATCGATTCGAAGGCATATGGTTTTGAAACGCAAGTTCTGTAGTCTTCAACCAATCCGTTGAAAGGCGATACATCATCGAAGAACAACAATCGCAAGCCGGAATACTTAGTAAGGTGTCAAATCACAAGAGCGCAGGGTATAATGGGCTACACTAAGCCAATACATGAAGGTATTCTATGTACCTTCTGTATGCATTGTGAGAATTTATAAAAAAGAATATTACAATATGGTATTTCCAAATTCATACATGACATCTTATCTGAAGTCATAAACATTCTGCGTAATACAGAATGCTAGCTTCTTTTTGGGAATCTGAACTGGCGACGAGACCGACGTGTCTTTAAAAGTCGAAGCTCAAGCTTTTTGAAGTTCAAGATCCGTACACCCAAAATCTTGTATAAGTTCAAGCTGAGGTTTACCCTCAGCACACTCTTGATTTTTAAAACAAAAACCCAAGGTTTAATGAGTATAACTTTTAGGAGCCCTTGTAGTGTTTTGCATGTGAGCTAGGAACCATTAATTTTTTGAGTCAGTTGCAAATTTGCTTTGAAAGACTGAAGTCGCTCTTCTTTCCTCCAAGTCGGTACCCTCCTTCTCCCTCCACGTCGGAGAACACTTCCTCGATGGACAAGCGTGACTGTTGTGTTTGAAGTACTGTTTGTGAACAACGCCCTCTTATATATGGGAGTTGGAAAGGAACATCAGGCATTGCGGTCACCAGAGCATTTGGTTGACACCTACCAATCGAGTCTCGTTGTTAGCAAGCAAATCCCAGACAATTTTCAGACACAATGGCAGTAGTTGCACCACCAAGTCTACCTTTATCGGGGGATTTTGTAGTGATTGTGTTAGTTAGATTGCTGACGTATCTACTTCTCATCTTGTCCTTCTGTCACCGACCGTAGATAGTGAAAATACAGGATCTGCAAGCGAAAGCAGACGTAAGAATAAAGAAACATCAGATCAGATGTAGAGCTGAGTCATGATCAATGTCACTGCTTTGTCCGCTCAAGACATCAAGACTCACCTCCGACCGCAACAACTAAATTCGTGGTATTTTTTGCAAGAAGGTAAGCCTGCCATCCATGCTTTCTTGTTGTATCTATACATGAAGCCGAGCTCCATGCTGGTTTTTGCCTCTAAACATCTTGGCTTAGTAGCGCGTTCAATAGACAAATATTTGTCCTTTTGCCGGATCCACCTGCGCTGTAGGCAAACGAAACACTCACTTCCAGGTCTATCCAAGTGTAAGTATAAGCAATTGTCCGATCAGATCACATACTCCAAAAGCTTAGACGCCTGCTAGCAAATTCTCACTTTTAAGCATTCTATCGAGCTTACAAAATCATGACGCATATAGAGAGGTGTTCTGGCCATCTATAAGAACTAGACATTTTTTCGTCGTATTGTCATGAGCAGCGGAGCCCTTTTACCTTCATCATGTTTCCGTCCGCCATAAATCGCTGTGCTGACAGTAAAGCATCCAACTATCGAGGGCATCGTCTACTTCTAGGATAAAATGATATCGACCTCATGTTGCTGAGACAGGTACGCAAAATACGAAATATCGTCAATAAGCTCAAAATTATGAGCTTAGCAAACATTTGAAATATTAAATCTGAAATTCCGTTTATGACTTCAAATCCTAGATGCGATCTCTTACTTAGAAATCTGTTTAAATTTGATGTAGCCGAGGTGCTTTTGCACTGTCAAAGTCAAAAAGAGGGTCGAAGAGAAGGAGGGAGAGCTAGTCCAGGTGTGACATGGTGATTATAGCTAAGGATCTTTTAATTCTGACGAACTTATAGTGACTTGTCAACGGAACTCGTTTTGTAGCAAAAAAAACATCGCCGCATATTTTTTTTACCGTTTTATTTGCAAAGGAAAACCTGTGGCCACGATGACTTTGATCTCGTAATTTGCTCCGTAGCTTCTATTGGAAAATGGTTGCAAAACTGCTTAAGAAAAGTTTCACAACGCATTTTAACGACTTGTTTAACTCATCTCTATCCGCAATCCAGTTATAATCTTGCATCATTTTCTTGGTGCGGTTTTTTTTGTGTGTAATGCCTAACTTGATTTTCCAAATATCTCAGCCAAAATTTTGCTTGCTAAAGGGACTTCAATTCCGGACCATAGAGTAGCGAATCATTAAAAAGTCTTACGAATCCCCTAACCCAATTAAATAATACAGTTCGTCTCTCACTATGGCTCCAGTTCAATAAAGTCTGACCTTATGATGCACGTACCGACCTGTTGGCGCGTCTCGACGCTTCTGCTGGCTTTCAGCGCTGGTGGGGCGCATGCTCAGGAGTGCACAGCGCTTCAAGAGAATGTGTTAACGTCTTCTGGCTGCCCTTCAGACTGTACAATCAATCCATGCGTGTTGTATTCGCCCTCCCAGGAAAAATCTTGTATCATGCTGGGTGCTAGTGGCCCTTGCTACAATGATAATAATTTCTTACTCCCTGGGGCTTCTACCGGATGCAACATGACTTATCAATGTTTGGATACGTTATTGTGGGATGGGAACCAATGGTTTTTAGCGCTTGATGCCAATACCGCTACTGATGAAAAGACGATGGCTTACGTGACACAAATTACTGCGCTTTCTTATGATAGCTCAACGCTCTCAGTGTACGTTTGATACTATTCGACATGATTTTGATTTTAAAGTTTTATCTATCGCATACGTTGATATAGTCAATTACAAGGTGCCCCCGTTGAGTCTTCGAGCAAGACGAATATTAAGAACATTTTGCTTGACCAGACGTTCTTTGATACACCCAACTCCGTCGTCAGTCTGTTTCTCTTAGACGTGAATTTACGCAACATCATCTCGTCTGTATCGCTCAAGACGGCATACACTACGCTGTACATGTCCAATGCCAATTTAAACGTCGTTCCGGATCAATTTGCCACATTCACCGCCATTTTAAAGCTCGATCTTTCTCTCAATTACATTAAAGAGCTGCCAGATAATACTAGCAACATCTGGACAGGACTGAATACCGTGACAGATCTCAATTTGGCAGATAATGAGCTCACAGACTTTCCCGTTGTTCTCACGAACTTGCAGACTTTAAATCTTACAGGCAATTCGTACACGACCATTCCTGATAATGTATATACCATGGCGGAATCAGGCGCACTAAAGTATCTCTTTATGGCCAATTGCAACTTTACTAATCTCCAAGTCTCGGTTTCACAATTGGCTTTGTTACAAAATCTAGCAACCTTTGAAGCTGACGTGGCAATAACTGATTGTGGTTCTGGGTTTGCACCTCTAACACTAAGTAATGCCGATGTACAACTTTGTGCCATCTCAACGTTATCCTCAAACGACGAAAGTGGTGGCAATTCATTGGCAATTGTATTGGGTGTATGTTGCAGTGTTCTCGTGCTCGCAATTGTTGGATTTGTATGGTACCGCAAGAAACATGGCGGTCATTTTGGTTCTACTAAAGGTGACTCGACAGTCTTTGGTACCGACATGGGCTCAAGTCTTACTGGTGGTGACACAACGTACGGATCATCGATTTGGGATGATCCGGATCTATTGGCTGCACGAATTGAGCATCGCGATATTGAAGCAGTCAAATTGCTCTCTCGTGGTGGATTTGGTGAAGTTTGGCTTGGTTTGTACATGAATGAAAATGTAGCAATTAAGAGATTGCTCAATGATAAGAAATCCATGCAGGATGCTTTGGCTTTTGCTACTGAAATCAAAGTTATGGCACGTTTAGATCATCCAAAGATCGTGCATTTTATTGGTGTGTCGTGGACAAATGCTTTGACTATTCAAGCTGTGACAGAGTTTATGGATTGTGGAGATCTTAAATCGCTATTGGATTCGAGTCGTGCAAGCTCGTTAACGTGGGCGAACTTAAAGTGTCAAATTGCTATTGACGTTGCAGACGCACTTGTGTACCTTCACACGCTTAATCCAAAGCTGATCCATCGCGACTTGAAGTCTCGAAATGTTCTCATTGATGCTCAAAGCGGTGCAAAACTAAGTGATTTTGGTATCTCGCGTAACCGCAGCTTTGATGAAACCATGACAGCGGGGGTGGGGACAGCACGCTGGATTGCTCCTGAAGTAATTCTGGGTGGACACTACACAGAGTTTGCTGATGTTTACTCGTTTGGTGTCGTTTTATCAGAACTTGACACGTGTAAAGCTCCATTTCACGACGCTACCAACACGAATGGCGGTAAGATGCAGGATGTAACAATCTTGCAGCTCGTGTCGGCAGGAAAATTGCAACCAAGCTTCAGTGATTCTTGTCCACATTCTATTGTGAAGCTGGCACGTGCGTGTTTGTCATTTGACCCTGCACAACGTCCAAGCGCTATTCATATTTCGTACGAGCTGCGTAAGATTATGAAAGATGAATTGTAGACTTAATAGTAGAATGAGAGAGTGCTCAAAGCTACTTGTTTGCCTTAAAAAACTTGAAAGCTTTTACCCATGTAAATCTAAATTTTATGTTAAATGGAAAGCTCCAAAAAAATTGCGAAAGCAGGACACCCCTCACATTTCTAGCTTCCATAGTGTTGAACCACCAAATTGTATACTCACCTCCTCATTGCCACCAATGCTTGCTCGTTTCTTGATTCTTTAGCTGGATGAAGGCTTGTAATTGTTTTGCAATGTCCTTTTCAGAAAACGTATCACTTTTCGCAATCGGCTCAATTCTTCTTAGAACTTCACTTTCTAGAATCTTGTACCTTTTAACCAGCAAATCATACAATGCTTCGTTAGTATATGGATTGTCTTTCTTGAACGCATTGACGTATTGTAGTATATGATGAAAGAAGATGCGATTGTGATCCGTATTCTTTCCAAGACCCACCCAATCACAAACTTGTTCAGGAGATATCCGAAGGTTCACCCAATGTTCAATCACAATTGGCTGTGTATGAAGTGCTGAGAAAGCGGATCCCAACAAAAACTCAGTTGATTTGAGATTTTGAATTGATTGAAGCCATTTAATAAGCGCAATGGTGTCCATTTTATCATCTCCATCGATCTTTTGATGCAGCATTGACTTAAGCAGCTCGGGAAAATCGTTGACGAAATATCGTCGAGATTTTGTGTAAATGTTTGACCATGAAGCAAAAATATTGTTTACGCCGTCATACATTGGCGGCAAGAGGACCCAGAACTCCATGGGGTCTTGCTTAAGCTTCTCCCACGCTTGAAAAACTCGATTGCTGATGGCACGATTAGATGCCATATACGCCAGCATATCTTCTGCAAGTGTTTTTGTGTCGCCCGACTGTCGAAGAGATTGCATTACATTCGCCATCTCTAACTCTTTTATCGTATTTGTGTTCATCAAAAGATCGTATACCCTTTGCACAAACGCTTCTCTCTCAATATTGTCTTCAGTCTGATATCTGTACGAGTTGGCATATACAAACCATTGCTTGAATTCTGGATTATCATCAATTTTGAATTGTTCAGGTCTGTTCTCAAACATTGACCACGGACTCTCTTGATCATTGAGCCGGTTTTTGTTCGCTACTGTCTGTTTGATGGGATTTGAAGTCAGATCCAGTAGCATTTTCTCTCCCACACTTTCAAAACCGGGAACATATCGAAGCCGAGAATAAAGTTCCACAAGTTGCTTATCTGTGTGCTTTGCCTTTAAAAATTGGACAAGCTCATCGTCAGTCATACCTTCACCTTGCTGTCTGCGATCAATGACTTGCGCAAGCCAATCAGGATGATTGTCAGACTTTGGAATTTCATTTGTTACTCGGGCTGTCGTGGGTTTTGATGCCATGTCTATCAGTATCCGGTCTGCAAAATTCGTCATGCCTGGAAGGGTTCGAATCCACGTACACAACTCCACTAGTTCAGCATCTGATTGTTTCGTTTTAAGCAGTTTAATGACCTCTCCATCGTCATATCGAATGCCTCGACTTCTAAGGTGCACCACGCGGTTAAGCCAATCATGAAATTCCTTGTTGTGTTTAAGGACTCCTCCATTTTTGACAACTGGTAAAAGTTCAAAGGCTTTAGTTGGGTTTGAACGCCACCAAGCCCACTTGTACGCGAGCTTGTTGATTATCTCCGATATCTTGTGGTAAAACCTTGTCAATAGATTAGACTCTGAAGCCTTCGTATCAACATGAATACCCATCCAAGTTCGCTCTTCCTGACTCTTTTCAGTGAATGTAACATTGCGATTAAAAGCTGGATGTAGGATGGAGGTGTTCGTGTACTCAGTAGATTTAGTGGATAGCTCATGACTGAGTGCACCCGAAGCATTTGAGTGTAACCCGATATATACCCACGCGAAGAGACTGAAGAGATGACGCATGGCTTCTTAGAAAGTCAGCAAATGTCTGTTTCATCTCTAGAGTAACCCGAATCGCCATCCACAAGTAGACCATGTAATTGTATATAATGTTACAAAAGAAAGACTGCAAAGAATCTTAACTTCGCTCCTAACTTCCGTAACTATTTTTTTTTTT